AGTTTGGTACATATCTTCTAGATCGGGTTGGTTCAAGTCCTCCTTCAATATCTTGTTTGATAGGTTGAATGGAGCTCCTATACTTGTCCGAAAGCAGATTCTCATAAATGCGTTTATCCTTTTTTTGTCTGTGGTTGTAATATATTTGCACCAAACTGGCAGTGCGTATGTTACTATCGGGAGGATACAACTTCTGTATAGAGTAAACTTTTGTTTTGTAGTCAATTTGCTTCTATAGTTGAGCAGGCTTGATAATGTTATTTTTGCGATTTTTGCTTTCTTTATTATATTTTTGACATGCATGTTGAATTTGAACTTGGAGTCTAAGGTAACTCCAAGATATTTAATGCTGTCAGTCCAGTTAATAGGGCTCTGGTTTACCTTTAGGATGGATTGTGGCTTGGATTTTTTATTGTCTAGTGTAGGAAAAATTATTGGCTGTGACTTTTTCGGGTTGATGTCTAAAATTTTACCACAGCATGTTTTAAATAGTTACTGTTATCAAGTGTGTAAAGAAGATAACAGATAAGAAAAAGATAGTTATCTTGTTTACACACTTGATAACAGTAACTATTTTATTTATTTATGCTTATGAGGTGATACAGCAGCGTATTTACAATTAGAGAGGAGACAAAATGAATTAAATCTAGAAAAAAAGAAGTCAGGACATATCGGTCATTAAAATTTGAGAGGCATGTCCAGTAGCTGCTGTATTGTCCATGAGGTCAGACGTACGGACCTCTGTGGTGTTGATCTCTTGGCGGAACGACTTGGAAGTCGGACTCGGGCCCCCCCACTGCGGCAGTAACTATTTAAAACATGCTTTGGTAAAATTTCTCATTCTTTTGGTTAGAAGCCCCGTAAATAAAGATATTTCCAAATTTCTCAATCAGTACTTTTGTCTGAAGATGGTAACAACGCTGTTACCAAAACGTCACACACAATTTATTTATTTGGATTTGGTCTTATTACCTTGTGTTTATAATCTATAATCCAAATTGTGCCTTATCATTATTCAATTTTCCTTTTTTCCTTTTTTTTTCCACTTTATTCAATTTTGACCGACGATAAAACTGTTTCCACGTGGCCTACAAATGTTTGTAAATAACTTTCAAAAATTTTTGCAAGAAAAATAACGAGATAAAATAGGGTGTATTCCCTCAAAAAATACATATTTTATATAAATTGATACAATTCCACTAGATCCAGGTATGCTTTTATCTATATTGGCATGTTTTAACTTTTGCTTATTGTAAAAAAAATCTTTGTTGTAAGTTATTTGAAAGATTAATATTCAAAATTTCAAATGCAAATCGTTTTCTCTCTCTCTCTCTCTCTCTCTTAACAAAAAAAAAAATATATAATCTTTTGTATAATAGCGGAAACTTTCATTATTCAAATCTACTAAATACAGATTAATAGAGCTCCTGGAAGCTTTTTTTTTTTTGTAAAAAAAAAAATATAATTGTAAACAATTATAATTGTAAAAAAATATTTGTTATAAGTTATTTTAAAGATTGATGTTCAAAATATCAAATGCATATCGTTTTCCCCTAACAAAGAAAAAAAGTTCAATTTTTTGTATAATATTGGATATTTGATTGATTTGAATCTCTTAAATACCGATTTATAGAGGCCCTGGAATTCTGATATTTTCACTCAATATTGATAAGAGAGAAAATGGTTATTTACGGGCTACTAACCAAAATATATGATTTTCGAGTCCAAAATTGATGCAAGGTATTTTTTTATTGAATCGATTAAAATAATACAATAGGTTCCTGGATATGTGTTTCTTCTTTAATTGTAATTTCAATCTTTTTGGGCATTTCGCCCTTTTACATGAGTACATAAGTACACGTACTCCTATAGAAGGCTAGAGTTGCACGAAAACCTCCCGTTTCAAAATAATTTTACAAGCTTCCGTTCAAAAAGAGCAACCAAGTTTATAATATTTGCAACAATGAATATTTTTTTTCTGAACAGAACATTTTAAAGGAATAAAGATAAACCCAGACATGACTAGATTCTAAAGGAACTATAGGAACTGTCACAACACCCAACTCACTCCGGACCATATATACCCGGCCATCCTTGCAGCCCTCTATATGGCAGACATCAATCCAAAAGAGGACATCCATACGGACACCTCAGTTGGCTGGTATTTTGATCAGGGTGCATTGACTGATTTTATCTGCTCCATAGACAAGACACTACCATCAACAATGAATAATAGGTGAAGGTATAATAATGCACATAGTCACGAAAAACCTGAGAATGTATTAATAAAAAGAAAGCCATCTCCAGAAAAAAACTTTTGTATTTTTTAGTTTTTTGTTTTTATGCATATTAATATTTATTGAGTTTTACACCATTTGTATAATAAAACAAATATCGTAATTTAAACAATGTGATATGTAAGTAATAAAGTATGACATCTTTTCTAGTCGTCTCAAAGTGACACCAGCTTGCCACTGGACACCCGGGGTATCCAGAGAGGGACAAAGAAGGGGCGTTGGTCCGGATGTTGACAGTTAGTTAGGTTACAGTGGATATTTTCGGAGAGGCCGCTCAGTGCTAGGTCTCACGGTGGCCCTCGTGGCCGCCGTTTTGGCTCCTCTCTGCCCCCGCGGCTTCATGCAAGACGACGAGCTTTCCTCAGTTAATCCTCAACTTTCCCCTGGTCCTGGTGCCACGTGAGACGTACTAGGAGAGCGTCTTTTGATCCCAAACTTTGTCCTTACTGTCCCGTGGGGACTTCCCACTCTGCACGCCTTGCCACTCAACCCCGACTGCTTCCAACTCACTTGTTGGCTTACCCAGGTTTACGACATATATGTATATGGAAATTTTATATCTATAGAATTTTATGAAATTTTATGTAAAATAGTATTCGATTATATTTCAATTATTGTCCTATTAGCGGTTTATTGTATTGCGTTTTCTCCTGTAGATGGGCTTTCGTGCCCTTCTTTATAATGAATTAAAGTCTACGTTCAGCTAAACAGAATAATGTCCGAGAAAAAATATATAGCGATTGAATTGTTTAACTTTCTAAAAGCGTTAGATAATAAGGTAATCTCTAAGAACTAAAATTACAGAACAATTTCCTTCCATAGTTAATTTGTATAGTTATGTTGAATACTTTGATTTTCTTTTCATTTTCCCTTATCTTCTTTGTTTATGTTTTTCTCTACCCCTTTCTTCATGAAAATGATGTATGGCGAGTCCTTACAGGACGGAAATGTCCTAATAAAGCTATTGTTGTTGTAGAATGAATAAAATAGAATAAATATAAACAGATATAAAAGTTTTGAAGGTAATCATGTACATTTGAAGATATCTCTTTTTCCTTCGTAAGGTCCAATTATAAAACAATATTGTCGATTAAAATTAGAGAAATATGTACCAATGCTCAAAAGGTAACAAGATCAAATTATTTAAAATTCTTACAAACTTAACTCTGCAATACCGCGCTACGTGTCCTGACTTGTTACACTTGAAACATATTGGTCTCCCGTCTTCTGTCCTATTCCTGTTTGAATCTGGAATTTTATTGTATGTTTTCTTTGGGTAGACCGGTTTTGGCTCAGGATTGGGAGTGTAAGATCGTCTAGGGGCAGATACCTGGGGCAGAGGCTTGTTCCGGTTTTGGCTCAGGATTGGGAGTGTAAGATCGTCTAGGGGCAGATACCTGGGGCAGAGGCTTGTTCTGGTAGTACCTAGGAGCGGGGCCTAGGGCTTGGGGGTGTTCTGGTAGTACCTCGGAGCGGGGGCCTGGGGCTTGGAGGTGTTCTGGTATGGTCTTCTGAACGACGTAGCATTCTTCCATTGCTCTTGATGATGGGAACGAGGAGAGCGTGGTCCATTATATATATTGTGACGTTTCGATAACAGTAATTACCATCAACAAAGTACTAAATATGAGAATATATGAAAAAAAAAAGAAAAAAAAAAGGTCAGATGTTGATAATAAAAACAACATAAAAGGCATATCCTGACCGTTCCCATGGACTTTCCTAGATGGCAGAGCGCCATCTAGTGGAACAAAAATCAAATAAACGTTGATTTAACATTATATTTGTCCATTGTTCCATGATATTTGAACAACCTCAGCACTAAACGAGGAAAAAAAAATCTGTTATTTTGTTTACACACTGATAACAATATCTAATATTTAAAACATGCTGTTATATTTTCCTTCTCATCCCTAGTCTCCCCAGCCTGGTCATAGTGCTTTGTATATATTCCGCTTTACGCGGCCATTGGGACTCAAAAATCATTTTATTTTGGTTAACAGCGCCGTTAAATAAATATATTTCCGTTTCCCGTTGGCATACAGATCTCCGATCAGAAATGGCACCTGCACGGCATTCATCGAGCTGGACTTGGCTTCCTACAAGGCCATTGGAAGAGGCGGCAGGCTCATTGTGAACCATGAGATCCTGAACTACGAGGAGTCTGTCCGCGTCTGCTACCGCTGCTGTGGCTACGGCCACAACGCCGATAGGTGCACCAAGGCTACGGTCACCTGCTTCCACTGCGCTTCTGGTGACCACTAAGGCCGAAGCTGTCCAACTCTCGCCAACCCGCGCACGGCTAAGTGCGCCAACTGCTCAGCCAAGGGCCTCTCTGTCGACCACGAGGCAAGATCAATGTCTTGCCCAACTGCCAGAGCTAGAGCTGCAAAGTTCTAGTCCTCCCGACTTTTTCCTGCCTCCTGACCTCCGCGGACCCAATCCGGCCTAACCTGCCTCTTCTCTGACGGAGATCCTGTCCCTAGCCTCCCCAGCCTGGTCATAGTGCTTTGTATATATTCTGCTTTATGCGGCCATTGGGGCTTAAAAATAATCTATTTTGGTTAGCAGCCCCGTAAATAAAGATATTTCCATTCCTTCTCATCGTACTCGCGTGTTCCGCGTTACATATACTAAAATTGAAACGATACAGTGAAAAAATAGCATGGCCCCATGCGCAAGGATTACACGCAAAATCGTGAAGCGTTCTATATATATTTTTTAGCTTGTGTTCTCGTTCGATCATCGAAGTTAAGCAATGTCGGACCCGGTCAGTACTTGGGAGGGTGACCACCTGGGAACACCGGGTGGTGTTGACTATTACCTTTTTTTTTTAGAGGGGTACTTGAAAATCATTCACGATGGTTAGTAGCCCGTGAAACCACATTCTCTCTCTTTTTTCCTTCTCATTTAGTACTTTGATGGTAACAACGCTGTTGCCAAAATGTCTCAAACTATATGTTTGGAGTTTATATAATAATTTTGTAATTATTCTTATTTTTTAAAATTCATAGAATCATTTTTCTGGCAGACATATTAATTTTTTTTTATCATAATCATTTTGGATATTGTTTTTTTTTTTTTAGTTAGTTATCAAATCATTTGCAATTTTAGTTTCTTTTTTGTTTTGTTGTGTTCCTTTTTAAGCAATAAAATATTAATAAAACTAAGGTGTAATATTCAATTCAAGCATATGGAACCAACATCGATTCATTTTTAAAACAAAGCAAATTCATAAGCTTATACAACTTTCACTTTTTCATACACTATCAATAATTTAGGTATGATCTTATTACTTTTTGATTATAATATATAGCCCAAATTTTACCTTATCATGTACTATTGTCTTCAATACGTCATTGGGTTTTATTAAATGATCACACAGATAAAGAAGGTTTTGATATAAATGTATAATAAATTTGAACTATTTTTTTACGCGTATGATTTCTTAAAAAAAAAAACAAATCAAATTTCTACTGCCCTTAATGCAATGATTTTGGTTCAAAATCACATTAATAGGTACCGCTCAACAAGAGCAACCTAGTTCATGATAATTGAAACAATGAATAATATGTAAAGGTTATTCACATATTAAACAAAATTAAACGCGGGATTCAATCCCAGTTCATGACAGTCGGGAATCGAGGGTGTTACCCACTCGTCCACTAATGCAATGATAAAATAATAGAAGAGCCTAGCTCATCAGTGGTGAACCTCTCAGCGGTTTCGTTAGTTTCTGGGCTCAAAAATCATTACTTTTGGTTAGTAGCCCGTTAAACCATATATATGTAACAGGTTTCGTTAGTTTAATCTACCATACCGCTGATATATTAAAAAAAAATCATACGCATCAAAAATAGTTCAAGATGTTTATAACAGATGGCGTGATAATGCATCCTATAAATTTATGAGTATACGAAAATCAGACGTAAAATTTAACGTGTTAAAAATGTCAAAGTACACGTGCGGTCCTGCATAGACATGTGTTGACATGTCCTATTGCACAATGTTACGTAATTGGTTCGATAACTCCGGTAGAGGGCGCGCAACATCCTTAATGGGATGGCAAAAACAATAGAGGAACGAATGAAAGGCAGGAGATAAGCGCATTCCAGAGTATCTGCCTTCAGACAAGTATAGGAGCTCCATTCAACTTATCAAACAAGATACTGAAGGAAGACTTAGAGAGAGAGTGTGTTGTTAGAAAAAAAATCCTGTTTTTTTTTAATCCTTTTTACACACAACTGATAACAGTACTATCTATTTAAAACATGTTGTAACATTTTTCTACACACATTCTTGAGAATCTGCTTCTGGACAAGTATAGAAGCTCCATTTAACCTATCAAACAAGATACTGAAGGAGGACTTAAACCAACCTGATCTAGAAGATTTTCTTTTTGATAATTCTCTTACCTACTCTACTACAATTATTGTAAATAGTTTCACGCGCAATTATCCAGATCGGATATAGCGTGTCTTGTTTGCAACTGGTAAATAAATCTAGAAGATATGTGCCAAATTTCCGTTAAGAAATTATACCTTTACCTACAAAATTCTTCAAATCCAACTATGCAAGACATAAAGGAGATATCAATCCCCGATTCCGATGACCTGACGCATAGTTAGAAGCTCCAACAGCTGAAAGGTTTGGAGGGCCATCTCTACTCCACCAACTCGCCATGTGTAAATAGCCAGGACAAGGTGACTCGAATGTAAACTCTGTCAACTGAGACGTGATAAATAAAGACGGAATAAGCTTTATACTTTATTCTTGTAATGAAGAAGGATACTCCCACTAAGTACTAAGTGTCAACCTGTAACCCTAAAACACATTATTGACTGTATTGACTCATCCATTGATATGCTCTACTCTTCCCCGGCAGACACCATAAAAAGTCTCAAGCTTTATACCTTAATATGATTGTGTGGAAATAAGAAAGAAGAACACATGTAGAAAGCATCTCCAGCAGAGACACCATCAACAAGCTCTACAAGCTTGATACCTTAATATGATTGAGTAGAGATAAGAAAGAAGAAGAAGAAAGAGAAGGATATTCTGTTGTACTTGGGGGGAGAAATCGACCCCAAAAGACAGAAGAACGAAATTTACCTAACCAATGGCATAGATGCAAGAATGAACTAGCAAGCAACTTCTGTATTAAACAATTTTTTATCTTAAAAGAAAATAAGACCTAATCCAAATAATTTATTAGTGTGTGACGTTTCGGCAACAACATAATAAAAATAATTTTATTCTTTTGTTTGATAATGGTGACAATGATTTTGCCGAAACGTCACACACTAATAAATTATTTGGATTAGGTCTTATTTTCTTTTATTATAATCTATAATACAAATTGTGCTTTATAATTTTTTTTCTTAAAAAAAAAAAAAAAAAAAAAAAAAGTGCACAATGCGAGATTCGACCCGTGTATATGGCTGTCAAAAATCAACAGTTATATCCCCCGCTCATATAACCAACCGTCTATAAAGAGAATTCATACTTGAAAGATTTTAAAAATTCATCTTTTATTGCTGTCAGACATGCTAACGCATGTAGTGCCGTTATCATAGGAGAAGATTTGTCCCAGGTGCAAATATTATCTTTGGACACAGTTTATCTTCTATAAATAGAAGCCTTTTTTTTTCAAATAGGTTGAAATATGGTCATTAACAACTGAGTAACACGGTTTACTTTAATAGATACAAACAAATACAGTTAAAATACAATTCAAATTGAACTAGAAGATGGAATGTTGGATCTTAGATCACACACAAGCGTGTTATAGGCTCCTGAGGAAAAGCTCATTGTTACACGCTGGCGTGTTATAGGCTCCTGAGGAAAAGCTCATATTTTACACGCTGGCGTGTTATAAGCTCTTTAAAAGAGGCTCATATTTTACACGCTGGCGTGTTATAGGCTCTTGAGGAAAAGCTCATTGTTACACGCTGGCCTGTTATAAGCTCCTGAGGAAAAGCTCATTGTTACATGCTGGCGTGTTATAGGCTCCTGAGGAAGAGCTCATTGTTACATGCTGGCGTGTTATAGGCTCCTGAGGAAAAGCTCATTGTTACATGCTGGCGTGTTATAGGCTCCTGAGGAAAAGCTCTTTGTTACATGCTGGCGTGTTATAGGCTCCTGAGGAAAGGCTCATAATACATGCTCGCGTGTTATAGGCTCCTTAAGAAAGGCTTATAATCATACGCTGGCGTGTTGTAGGCTCCTTAAGAAAGGCTCATAATCACACGCTGGTGTATAGTTTCCAGAGATAAAGGGTAATTGGAATTTATACTTTTAATCTTAATATTCATCAGAACATCATAGTAACTCTATTCGGCCGATCTAGGTTACATAGGCAAGAGTAATGGAGGCTATGGGAGAGATAGCATTGAGATATAAGGGTAGATTGCAATGATATCTTATCTATTTTTGACTTTAAGATAGTCTAACTTGTGTGGCAGAGCCCAGAGATACCGTCATGCTCGTCCTCAGCAGTTTGCTGGCCTTCCTGTCAGCGGTCCGACGGAATTTCCTGACAAGGGACATCGGGAGAAACAAAGGTAAGAACTTAAACTCTTTCCTGAAATGTGGAATTTACATCTATTTGTATTCACTATCGACGGACGATTGGTAAAAACCGTCGAATTCCGTCAGCCTTGACTTGGGATCGAATCCCGCATTGGTCACCTTTTTTTTTTCCTGAATAAAAATTGCCTCTAGGAACCTCTGATTATTATCTAATTCAAACCCCACTGATGAATGCAAGTAACTAATAAGTCTTTTAATATACACTCAAGGACAAAACTTAAGGAAGTTGTACCTTTTAGTATGTATATCGGGATTCAGACAATAACTCTGAAAGATACACTCAAGGACAAAACTTAAGGAAGTTGTACCTTTTAACATGTATATCGGGATTAAGACAATAACTATGAAAGATACACTCAAGGACAAAACTTAAGGAAGTTGTACCTTTTAGCATGTATATCGGGATTCAGACAATAACTCTGAAAGATATACTCATGGACAAAACTTAAAAAAGTTGTACCTTTTAGCATGTATATTGGGATTCAGACAATAACTCTGAAAGATACACTCATGGACAAAACTTAAGGAAGTTGTACCTTTCAGCATGTATATCGGGATTCAGACAATAACTCTGAAAGATATTTGATACACGATGACCTTTATTGAAGATATACGAGATAACCAAGTATGAACAAAATTTCCTCTGTCTCTTAAAAAAAAATAGACCACCGGCGACACAAATATGTTTCACTTCCCTAAGTTTTATCTATGAATGTACTTGTTTTCAATAGCTATTTTTGGGAATGTCTTTCTTTTCACACACATATGTCATTATATATTATCTATACAGACCTTATTGCAATGATAAAAGTTATTAAAGGGAGGGCTGTCTAAGAAGTAGTCTTCTTCTTCTTTCTTATCTCCACTCAAATCACACTAAGGTATCAAGCTTGTAAAGATTGTTGATGGTGTCTGCCGGGGAAGAGTAGAGCTCATCAATGGGTGAGTCAATACAGTCAATAATGTTTCTTGGGGTTTACGATTGGGTAAAGTAAAATGCTTCTGTCTTTGTCATTAAGACTGTGAGCACTACTCAGTGGCAGGACGACTTGCTCCAATATGAAATGGCCGCCTCTGACACGAGGGACAGACGCCATGTGCAGCCGCTCCTAACATGGAGAACAAACGCTGTCAGCAGAAGTGAACCCTATCAACGGTTTCGCCAAATTAAACTCCACATCCCTCTACTATTGTATTAGATTGGTTTTCTTATATACTCTGCACACACACA